ATCAGCGCCATTGGAGGAATGGGTTCTGCATACAGCGAACCTGGAATGTAAAAGTCAGGATACAGGAGCTTGGGTAGGTGAAGCTATTTCTACAGGCTTGAGGAGGCACCAGGATGCCAAATACCCTACCTGTGATGATATAGAGGCATGGGTAGGGAAGGCAATCTCAAAGAATTTAAATAGGCGTAAAGATGCAAAATGCTTTAACTGTGGTAGAATAGGACATCTTAGTAGGAACTGTAGACAACGCATTCCTAGAAATAATGCTTTTACCAGGAATGTATCAAACAGAAGGCCTAAGCCTCCTGGTCTATGCAGGAGGTGTGGGAAGGGGCACCATTGGACTGATGAATGCTTTTCCACAATAGACAGACAAGGTAGATCTTTACAGCAGGGAAACGGGCTTCCGGGGCTCCATGGAGCCCCGAAGAGGAAGATTATCCGGTCATTCCCAGTGACAGTGGAGGACAGCCTCTCCCAGGACAATTAGAAGATCCACTGCCCATTGTAAATAATACGGCACTGGATAATACATTAGCTCCAGAGGATGAATCAACTACATCAGGAGGAGATACAAAACATATATTTTGGCAAACTTCTATACAATATCATAGACCCAAACTTCCGGTTAAGGTAAATAATAGGGTGATTTACGGATTACTGGACACCGGAAGTGACGTCACTATCCTTAATCAGCAGTCCTGGCCACAAAACTGGGCTTTAAAAGAGGTTAATGTTCAATTCTTAGGGATCGGAACCCTATCTGAAGTTAAACAGAGCGTTGGATGGATTGACTTTATTGGGCCAGAAGGACAGAGAGGAAGGTTAAAGCCATATGTTGCAGATATTGCTATAAACCTCTGGGGTCGTGATCTACTCCAGCAATGGAATATGCAGATTAAAATTCCTCCTGTATCAGCTAGGAATTATAGACAAGCTCTTAGTGGTAGTAAGAATATAGTAAGACAGTACAGAAAACAGATGCCAAATGTACAGGCTGTACAGAAGCAAGATGCTAGTGCCAAACCTACAGAGCAACCAAAAGCTCTACCATTAAAATGGCTGACAGATGAACCCGTCTGGGTGGGTCAATGGCCTATGACATCTGAGAAGTTAGAGGCTTTGGAGAAGTTAGTTCAGGAACAGCTAGATGCTGGACATATTGAGGAATCAACTAGTGCATGGAATTCGCCTGTTTTTGTTGTCAAGAAGAAGTCTGGTAAGTGGAGAATGGTTACTGATCTTAGAGCCATCAACAAGGTAATTCAGCCTATGGGGTCTCTACAACCTGGGATGCCGTTACCTTCTCTAATTCCTAAGGATTGGCCAATTATAGTTATAGACTTAAAAGATTGTTTCTTCACCATACCATTACAAGAAAACGACAGAGAAAAGTTTGCCTTCACAGTACCTACCTATAATAATTCCCGTCCGGTACAGAGATTCCAGTGGAAGGTACTACCTCAAGGTATGTTAAACAGTCCAACTTTGAGTCAATATTTTGTGAATAAACCTCTAGAAATAATTCGTAAAAAATTTCCACATTCGTTAATATATCATTATATGGATGACATATTATTGTCTGATTCAAATAAGGATACTTTGGAAAAGATGTTTGAGGCAGTAAAGGAAATTTTGCCTCGCTGGGGATTACAAATTGCCCCAGAAAAAATACAAAGAGGAGATTCTATTAACTATTTAGGTTATAAAATAGATGCTCAGAAAATTAGACCACAGAAAGTACAGATCAGAAGAGATCGTTACCGGACTCTTAATGATCTTCAAAAACTATTAGGAGAAATCTCTCAATTACAGACGATTATTGGTGTAGAAGGGCATGATTTAAAACACCTGAAAATGGCTTTAAAAGGAGATAAAGACCTAAACAGCCCACGAGTACTATCAGCTGAGGCTGAAAAAGAATTAGAATGGGTAGAAAAGAGAATATTAGAAGCACATGTGGACCGTGTGGATCCAAATCTGGACTGTATTCTGGTTATTTTACCATCTAGAGAATACCCTCAGGAATATTAATGCAGAGGGACGACATCATTCTAGAATGGGTATTTCTGCCACATAAACAAAATAAAAAATTGAAAACATATATAGAAAAGATATCTGATTTGATATTAAAAGGTAAATTAAGGCTTCGTCAACTGACTGGGAAAGACCCAGCTGAAATTATTGTACCGTTAACGAATGAGGAAATTTCCTCCTTATGGAAGGATAATGAGTATTGGCAAATAGCTTGCAGTGACTTTTTGGGAAGTATTAGTAATAACTATCCCAAAACAGAGAGAATCAAATTCATAAAGAAAACAATTTGGATTCTTCCACGTATCGTGAGGCAAACACCTATTTCTGGAGTTCTTACCTTCTACACGGATGCAAACAAATCAGGTAAGGCAGGGTATAAATCAGGAAATATAAGTAAAGTAGTTCAAAGCCCTTACAACTCCGTACAAAAGGCAGAGTTATATGCCATTCTCATGGTACTTAAAGACTTTACAGAGCCTCTCAATATAGTCACGGATTCTCAGTATGCAGAAAGAGTTGTCCTGCACATTGAGACTGCAGAATTTGTTCCTGATAATACAGAATTAACCTCATTGTTTTTACAATTGCAGGAAATCATCAGAAACAGGACTCATCCTATATATATAACACACATCAGATCCCATACAGGTCTGCCAGGTCCTCTGGCACAAGGCAATGATGAAATTGATCGTTTATTAGTAGGTAATGTGTTGGAAGCTTCAGAATTTCATAAGAAACACCATGTTAACAGCAAAGGTTTAAAGAAGGATTTTTCTATCACCTGGCAACAAGCCAAAGAAATAGTAAGAAATTGTCCCAGTTGCTCATTGTACACTCAAACTCCATTACCAGCAGGTTGTAATCCTAAAGGTGTTCACAGAAATGAACTTTTGCAAATGGATGTATTTCACTTCCCAGAATTTGGCAGTTTGAAATATGTACACCATACTATAGACACGTACTCAGGCTTCCAATGGGCTACTGCCCTCAGCTCTGAAAAAGCTGACTCTGTTATTACACACCTCTTAGAGGTAATGGCTGTTATGGGTATACCTAAAACAATAAAAACTGACAATGGTCCAGCATATGTCTCCAGTAAATTGGAACAATTCTTCAAATATTATAATATAAAACATGTAACTGGTATACCTTACAATCCCACAGGACAAGCAATAATTGAAAGGTCTAACCGAACCTTAAAAGAGATGCTTCATAAACAGCCAGGGAAAACAAAGACACCTAGACACAGGTTACACAATGCTTTACTAACGTTGAATTTTCTTAATGCTGATGAAAAAGGACAAACTGCAGCAGAAAGACACTGGACTACAGAGAAGACTTCTGAACTGAACCAACCGGTGTATTTTAAGGATGTTATGACCTCAGTCTGGAAACCAGGATATGTGTTACTTTGGGGAAGGGGTTATGCTTTTGTTTCCACAGGAGAAGAAAAGGTTTGGGTTCCATCAAAATTAATTAAAATTCGATCAGAACAGAAAACATCTCAGGAGGAGGAAGATAACAGCCCATCTACAAATTCATAGTCCACAATGGGTAAAGTGACCTCCTAAAAGGAAAGAGAAGTGCTTTGTTTTTGTCTTCACAGGTAAACTCAGCAAGGAATACTGGACATATGGATTCCTGTAGAAGAATGAATAACTACCCTGAGGACCATCAACAAACAGTATCTCACTGTGTGGTATCAAAGTCTAAATCTCTCTATATTGCTTTTTCATAGTACACCTTTATCTTTATTTCTTCACATACCTCAGTTCCCATTCATTTAACTGAAGCTGGCTTTGGAGTTGGATTGGCTCTCCTACTCTAAACCCAAGCATATTATTTAAATACAATTCAGAATTTCTGTATTATATCAAAGAGCCATTGATATAAGACAGAAGAAATAAAATGAGGGACTGTTATCTATGGATTTCTTTTTCTGAACAGTCTAATTTCCTCCAGGTTTTCCATCTTCCCTATTGTCACCTCTTCTGTATGCTTACATATGAAAGTTACAATATTTCTTCGTTAACATTAATGTTTGAGTTTTCCAGAGAACAAGGGATTTCCTGACAGCAATCTTCAACTGCTTCTGAAAGAGAATGAGGATCCACTTCCTTGACTTCACCTGATTCGACTGGAGGCATCTGAATTGCCCCACATCATTGACTCCACCTGACAAGCACTATCCTGAAACTGGCTTGAAACTACATCACTCAACACAACTCCAGACCAAGGAACGGAAATAGCACATCTTCTACAATCTGACCAGAGCTTCAAGATAAGAGCTTCAATCAACACTAGAACCCCAGTCAGGAACTTCAATCAAGCATCTCCTGCCATACTGAGACTGTCTGATCTACTCAGATTTCGTTATACTAACATTTTCTTTTCACAGGTCCCCATGAGATTATCATCGTCCCATCTCAGCAGGAAGTAGTTTTGAGAATTCCACGCCCCCTCTCCCTACTATTGATATTATAAGATTACACCTGTTAGTGTTAGTTTTCAATTATTTTAGAGTTGGGATTGGAAGGAGGTGTTCATATTTGGGTGTTTCTTTAAAATAAGTTTAGGTTTAGATAGAATAGATGTTTGATACATTTTGTTCATGGACACAAGTTAGTTGTCCTTTTTTAGACTAAAAGGGGAATTGTAGGAGGAAGTCTGATGCCGCCATTAAACATGTGACTTACTAAGTCTATGCCGCCATTAAACATGTGACTTACTAGAGGCGCATACAGATGAGGTAATAAAAGGGCGGTTTACCACACCACTAACCACACCCACTTTAGGCAGGACTAAAGACGTATACGGCTGGACGTAAAGACGTATACATACGTAGGCGGAACTACGTCACTAGCCAAGCCCACTTTTGGGCATGGCTAGGGGCGTTACGGGGGAAGGCATAAAAGATAGCGCACAGGAAGTCTCGCTCTCTTTTCCTGGAGTTCGGCTTCCGGTCCAGTCGCTAGCTGAGATCTGCTGGGCTTCTCGGGGTTTGGTATCTTGTGAGTAATTTTCTATATAAAATACTTAGCCTTATTTTCAGTAATTGTGTGTCGCGTATTGTTACAGCGTCCGTAAAGCCAACAGAGATCCACTTGTCTCTGCCTCACAGGTGCTAGGATTAAAGGCCTGTGCAGCATTGCCTGGGAGATATTAATTTTTGCATGTCAGTTTTGTATTTTGCCAATTCACTGAAAGTTATTTATCAGCTCTAGTTCTCTGGTGGAATCTTTAGTTTCTCTTAAATATAGATTCTTGTCATCTGAAAACAAGAATACTTTGTTTCTTTCCCCTTTCCTGTGTGTATTCCTTTTATTTCCTTTCTTGTCTTACTGGTCTAGGACTTCAAGGATTGCATTGACTATGAGTGGGGATGGCGAACATCCTTTTTTTGTTCCTGGTTTTCGTTGGGTGCTTTGAGTTCATCTTGGTTTTGTGTATGCTTGTTTATGATGTGTAGTTTTCATTAAGTTGAGATGTGTTCTCTCCTATTCTTGTCTGTCTGGGACTTTATTTTAATATCATGAATGGGTACAGGATTTTGTCAAAGGCCTTTTCTTCATCGTTGAGATGATTGTGCATTTTCTATCTTTGAGACTATTTATGCGATGGCTTACATATTTTTGATTTATGAATGTTAAAGTATCCTTGTGTCTCTGGACTGAAGCCTACTTAATTGTAATGGATGATTTTTTTTCCGTTGTGTTCTTGGGTTTGTTTTGCGAAAGAATGTATACTGGCCTTTAAAAAATTGTTTCTGTGAATGTCGTTCAGCATTCTCAGAGCTGGGACTGCTTTATACCCATTTTCAGTACGCCTTTTGCCTAAACTCCTTTACGCCCTCCTGCTTTAGTCTCTACGCTTCTCTCTTCTTTCTGCACCTCTTTTCTGTATGTTTTTTCCAGTTCAATACCGATCAACAATCTTGACTCTTTGGTTGTACATATTTGGATGATGAGACCTGTGCACCTGATGCTGACAATAGGCAAATGTTAGGTAAAGTACAACCCTGCAGCAGTCTTGCTTGCCACGTGTCGGTGTGGTTTTGGTTTGACAGTTACATAACTGCTGTCAAAATATCTCAAGTAACCCTGAAGGAAAACTGACTCACATCTTGTTTGGCTTTTTTGCGTGACTTACTTTATTTAACAAATTTCCTTCAGGTTCATCCATGTCATTGTAAATAACAAAATCTACCCCTTTAAAGGCAAAATGCTCTTTTATTGTGTACCCATGCCACTTTTCTTTTCTTGTTCATCAGGTTTTGGGCACTTATTTAGTTTGGTACCATGTGTAGGCGACTGTGGACAACACTGAAAGGAACATGTCAGTCTGTGTACCTCTTTTATATACTGACTTCATGCTGGTTCGGCAGAGGATTTGAGGGAACGTGTGGTAGTGCTGGTTCTAATTTTCAGGGCCCTCCAGACTGATTTCTATAATGACTTACCGATTTATTCTCCCACCAGTATGCAAGGATCCTCTTTCCTTCCACATGGGAATTCTCCACAACAAAAATGATCCAGTCCCCAATGTCAGTTGAAGTGAGAAAGCCTGCTCCAGGGAATGGAAACTATCTGAAAAAAACGAACCCTACACGTGCTTTTGGAGATTCACAGAGATGAACTCAGACTTTGACTTTGTTTCTTTTGGTGGTGCAGCTTAATCATTTTCAATTTCCATTGTAAAAGGAGTAATAGCTTTAATGCTATGTTTGTCGAACTATGTAAGATATGTTTTATAGATGTTTTGAGAATTTCCCAAGGAACTCTACTTGTAATAACTCTCCCTATGAATTTTTTTGGTTTATGTGTTCACATCAGAATCTCACTTAATGTTTATAGCAGCCATAGGACACAGCTAGGGCAAAATCTAATATCTCATTTCATTGATGAGGAAACTTGGCTTGAAAAGGAAAAAGAATGATGGGATTAGTAACTAGTAACTAGTAAATATCTAAGCCTACATGGGCTTCACATTACATTACTCCTCATCTGTACGTAAGATATTAAAAAACTTAATTGACACTGGACAGGCACTGTGACAGGTATTGGACACACATCTGGATGTGGTAATGACCTGCCAGTGTGAGAAAGATGAAGTTCAGGGTGCAATCACAGGTTAAGCATGGTGATAAAAGACACATTAATTCAATAAAAGTCTTTAAGTTGTCTGCTTCAGGAAGAGGTGAATGGGAGGACAATGCCTACTCTTTAAATGAAACTTGTGTCTAGTATAATCATTCCGCTTTATGCTTTTCTGTTTTCCATACACCGCTTTAAAAAAAACATTTCAGTGTCACTCTCAGTTAAAGATAAATGATGTCCAGTGTTATGTGTTCATACTGGGTTTATGTGTAGGCAACTAAGAGACTCCTCTTTTCTCCAAGCTGATGGTTTATGCTATCTTTGGTTTGTAATTATCTGGCTGTAGAACTGAGCAGAGATGTTACTGTAAGCTATACTGAGAGGCACTCTGCTATTGACTGTGTTGTCACTCTTCTCTCCTCAAATCCCACTCCTAGATCCCATCTGGACGAAATGATGTGGCTACGTACAGGAGGACCTCAATGGTCTCAAAACATTACCTTATGAGTTTGTTCTACATACAAATCTCTAGCCAGTGGCAAAAGTCTTCCACATACAAGAACATTTGATAAATACAGACTGGTTGGCTACTCATGTCTACACTTTGTACTTTGATGAGGAGTCTCCCTTCCTTCCTTCCTCCCTCCCTCCTTCCCCCTCCCTCCCTCCCCCCCCCTCTCTCTCTCTGTCTCTCGCCCTCCCTTACTTCCTTCCTCTTCATTTGGCTTCCATTTATCTTTTAAGGGCAAGTTTATATTCTCATTCATTCAGTGATGTATTTACTTAGCTTTCTTTCTTTCTTTTTTTGGTTTTACAAGGCAGGTTTTACAGGGCAATTTTTGGTTTTACAAGACAGTTGTCCTGGAACTAGCTTTGTATACCAGGCTGGCCTTGAACTCACAGAGATGTACCTGTCTCTGCCTCCCAGTAGCTGGGATAAAAGGCATGTGCCACCAGTGCCCAGCAAAAATAACTTGAAAATTTTATTTATTTATTTATTTACTTATTATGTATACAGTGTTCTGTCTGCATGTATCCCTGAAGGCCAGAAGAGGGTACCAGATCTCATTACAGATGTTTGTGAGCCCTCATATGGTTGCTGGAAATTGAACTCAGGACCTCTGGAAGACCAGCTAGTGTTTTTGACCACTGAGCCATCTGTCCAGCCCTAGATAGTCCTTAAAGCAATGGTTTTCTTAAGACAGGGTTTCTCTGTGTAGCTCTGGATGTCTTGAAAGTAGTTGTATAGACTAGACTTGAACTCACTGAGATCCATCTGCCTCTGTGTCCCGAATGCTGGGATTAAAAGTATGTGCCACCACTGCTGGACTTACTTTCTGAAGCAGAGTCTCACTATGTAGACTTGGCTGGCCTGGAACTCACTAAGTAGACCAAGCTGGCTTCAAACTTATAAATACCTGCTTGCCTCTGCCTCCCAATTGCTAAGTGGATTAAAGAAGTGCACTAACATACGTGGACATCCAGTAATTAATTGATGTTTGTCAAGCATTCACAGAGACTACTTATTCTTTGCAAGGCATCCAGGACATAACACTGAATAAAGTACTTAGTTGCTGTCCTTTACACATCTTACCTTCTGGTCAGAAAACACTATGAATAATTAATAACAAATTAACTATGTCTGTGATAAATGTTATAGAAGGACAAGTATTCAATAAGAGGTCATAGGTCAGGATAACATGACCTTGTAGACAGCATGAGGGGAAAGGAAGACTAGGAAAAGTGTCTTTGAGGAAAAGATGTTGGGAGAGGATAGGGTGAGGAAAGCAAGGGCAGAGGAGGCCATTGTGGATAGAAGGAACTGGTTTTATAGGGGCTTCCAGCATTAAAAGGATCATGGGAACTTTGAAGGACAGAACAAAGGCCAAGGTAGCTGCTGTGAAGGACCACAGGGACAAATAGGATCAGGAGACCCAAGTCCTCCCAGCATAAGGCCAACCAGAACATGTAATGCTGTGATGACAGCACATTTATTTTTTATTTTATTCAAATAACAGACATCCATAATTGAAGAGGTCTGGGCAGTGAGAAGGAAGCAACGTGATAGTCACGTTTTACAACTCACTGCGTGCGATTGTCAGTCAGTAGGCCTGCTAAAGCTACGGCTTTTATAAGAGGCCTTGAGATAGAGAGCAGAGAACACGGACCAGAGGGACAGGAAAACAAGATCCGCAGAGCCCATGAGTGATGGGGGAGTGGCAGGTGTTGTGTTGTATCTGATTCACGTCTTCCTTGTTTTGCAATTTCCTCTTCCAGGATGCAGCTGTCTGGGTTGGCAGGTGACGACCTTTGTTTGGAAACGAGGCTTTGCTAGTCACATGGAATAGAATGAAGACAGCCACAGACTGTGAGCATTAACCGGTGAGTAGTTGTAGACTGGGAGCTCCTGTCAAGATAAGAAGGGACACAGAGGGAACTGACAGAGAGTGGAAATGACATCATTGTTTCCACAGAGAGTGGAAATGGCATCAATGTTTCCCTATAGGGAAGGAGTGTAGCTGTGAGGACATTTGAGGAACTGACCTGAAAGGCTGAGTATGCTTTAGTGACGTTGGTGCTATGCAAAGTCAAGGGTATGACTGGGAAGGTGGTGGTTTAGCCTAGGAAGAGATTAGTGGAGATTATGTTAAGACCCTAGGCCACTACATATGGTCATGTAGAATACGTGATGCAAAACAGAAAGGGACTCTATTCACACCAGGGACAGTATTCCTTATGTCCTGGAGTTGAGAAATGTGTGGATTGTCACAGGGGATGAAAGCATAGGATGTTGGATGGAAATCCCAGGCCGATTTTAAATCACTAGGAAAGCCAGAAAAACTGGGTAAGGAGCATTGCGAGCCAGGATATTTGTACATGGGAGAAGGCCAGAAGAAGGCATATGATCACCAAGTGGAAAAAGACTGGGGCTACGGGAAGAACAGTTGCCATTTGAAGTAGCATTGGGATGATGTCACTCTCTGACTGTGACAGGATGACACTGGAAATAAAGTTTCACCCCCTGCAAAGGGGGTAAGAATTGTGCTTATTGTCAGCTGGTCATCAGTATAGAAGAGCTGTGGGCCTTTGGTTGTCTTGCTCAGGAGGGCATGGTGGGAAGCTTTGCAAGGGAAGGGAGAATTGGGGATTGGTGCTGTGGTCAGGAACCAAGGTGTGAATGACAATGGAAGTGAGGAGCCCCAGAGGAGCCAGTTGAGCCGAGGAGGGAAAGATTCAGAGGTGGGACCTTTGACTTCACAACCTGTGTTGACTTTAGTCAGGCCTTAGCCTCCACACCGAGTGCTTTAGAACCAGGGGAGCCTTTGCTGGGAGGGCACAGCCTACGCTTTGCAGGATGAGTAGGAACAGCCTTGCCTTTACTTAGGGATGTCAGTGGCAAATACCAGCTGAGGCTTTCAAACCTGCCTCCAGACCTTGTTACCTGTCTGTTGAGGGAGGGACTAAAATTGTCCCCCACTTTAAAAAAAATTTAGAGGGTTTCTTTGTGTAACAGCCCTGGCTCTTCTGGAACTTGCTCTGTAGACCAGGCTGGTCTTGAACTCACAGAGATCTGCCTGTCACTGCCTCCCAAGTGCTGGGATTAAAGGCGTGCACTACTACCACTGCCCAGCTAAAACTGTCCCAGTTTGAAGCTGTGAGTTTACTGAGTGGATCTAACTCAAGATTGGGGTGTGTAAACATTTATCTTCCTGCCACTGAGAATTATCACTGGACATGTCTGTATATTTTTATGTTCTTTGTTTTAGAAAACTCTTGATCAAACAGGAGATCTGATTGTCCATCACAGGAAGAAATCGTAGCCGTTGGTTTACAGGGGTGATTCTTCGTTTAGAATTCCTTTACATAAAACGGTCTCAGAATCGAAGTTTCCGGGAAATAAAGGGTTCTAACAGTCCGAGTAAAATGAAAGAAAGTGGGTCTCTGTTGTAACTGTCCCCAGAGCTATTTGGCACGGACACAAAGCTTTGAGACCAGTAAAGTTGTCTGTCCCCTTTGGAGATCTGGTCTGCGGTGCCTGGGTGAGCGGAGCCGGAGAGGCGCTTGGCCCAGCTCCTGCTGACTTCATACCCCATGCCAGTCGGAGAGGACTTGTTGGATTGTATTTGGTGCCAAGGACTGGGTGGGAAAGGGGAAGAAAATTCAAGCAAAAGAAGGGGGTGAGGTGCCCGAAGACAGGCTTTTGCAGGGTTCTTTAAGTGCCATCAGCTGTAGTGAAGACGCAAAAATTTCTACAGCAGTTGTAGCCCTTCTGGAGCAATGGCTTAACAAACTTAACATGGTGATATTATCACCTCTACTCAGTGGACAAAAGACTTCACTGTTTAACAGAATAAAGCCTTTCTTCTTCCAGTTACTGCTTTGTGTCAGTCTTTAAAAATGAGCATACAAAGGAGCCATCCAGAAACCTGTCAAAGGTTATTTTAGACATGTTCTTTCCAAAATATCTGGTTCAAAGGCTTCTCAGCTGGTGTTCCTGGCTTGCTGGGCAGTTTTCAAACAATCTCTTTTGCTGGTCAGTTGTGAGTAGGAGGGATTAGCAGAAGTAGTTGGATCTTATTTCTGATGGTATAGACAAACTTCTTCCAAGCTGGCTGTCAGTGTAGAAGGCAAGAGCATGCTCTTGTCATGATTGCAGAGTTCACACCTGGACCCCTAGGATGGTCAAGTCCCAGCTGTGGGGAAGGGTCCTCCCCCCACTTCCCCTTCCAGAGCCACGCTCCTGGAACACCTCCCAGCATCTTAGTGTATCTTTTATCTCCAGAGTTTCTTTGGGTTCTCGGATGTCCTCAAGAATGAAAACACCCCACATGACCTGAAAATGAAATTTGTCCTCCCCAGTAAAATACCCAATCAAGATATTCTACCAGTCAAAAAACTCCAAGGTCAGGAGACAAAGCCAGTTTCTTATGATTATAAAACTGAACAGCTTACTGCAAGTGTCACAGATTAGATGATTCCACTCATATAACTTTCAGGAGTGATGAAGGCAGAGAGATGGGGTCCTGAGCAAAGGGTGTGACTAGGAGTGGCATAAAAGAACTCCTTTGTGAGGACGGAGAGATGCTATCTCTGGGTGGAAAGCTTGGATACACACCCCACACAGGATAAACTGTCACAGTACTACACACATGCTAGAAAACACACAATAGTCCATGCAAAAAGAGATGGAATTTGAGGAAAGGGGGGGGATTTGGTTAACTGTGTGGAGTTAATGTAGTGTCTTGGTTTTTTTTTTCTTTTATCATTTTTTATTTTAATTTTAAATAGCTTGTTTTACATGTCAATCCCAGTTCCTTATCCTTCCCCTCCTCCCGCACTCCCCTTCCCCCCCCAGCCTCCCACCCTATTGCCAAATCCTTCCACATAGGGGATGTCTAGAGTCTGTCATTTCACTCTGGGTAGGGTCCAGGCACTCCCCTATGAGTCCAGACTGAGAGAGCATCCCTCTTTGTGCTATAGGCACACGATGACTGTTTGTATTCCAGGGATAGACACTGATCCACAGCTCAGGGCCCCATAGGTTGCCCAGGCCTTCTCGCTGACACTCACATTTGACATTTGGGGGATCCAGATCAGTCCCATGCTGGCCTCCCCACTGTCAGTCTGGGGTAGTGTCTTGGTTTTGAAAATACAAGTAAAATATATTCGCCATTAGGAGAAGCTGGGTGATAGCACATAAAACATTCTTTGCACTATTTTTTTGTGACTCATTGTGAATCTTATACATTATTTCAAATTACAAATTAAAAATAAGCTATAAAGCAAACTTCAAGTCAGATAACTTTATAGATGATAGGTGACTAGGAAATGAATGTAATGAATTACTAAGTGTGCAAAAATCTTAAGCATTATATTAATGATTTAGTAGACCAATGACAATAGGCTTCTAAAATTTCTCTTGTGATACCAGGTCTTCCTACAAAGCACAGGCTGTCCTTGAACTTGCAGTTCAAGTTCTGCCTCTGTCTCCCAAGTCCTGGGATTACAGGTGTGTGCTACCATGTCTGGCTAGGTAGTAATTTTGAGTACTTAATATCAAACATTGTACTAGGCACTGTAATATTCACAGGAGCCTTTTTAAAAAAATTAAATAAAGCTTGTTTCTGAAAAATATAATTTTATGTATTTGACAAAACTTTACAGAAAAGAGAATAACTACTGACAACCCTCCCCTAGGTAACAGTTAATACTATTAACTAGTTAATACTATTAGTTAATACTAATGCTGCTGAGCAGCCGGAGAGGGTGAGACTTGTATCTGTATACACATACGCACATATTTTTCTATATGGATTTGTCCTTTGTTTTTTTAAATAAAATTAATTAATTTATTTGTGTGTGTGTGTGTGTGTGTGTGTGTGTGTGTGTGTGTGTATTCCTGCACCTGTTCACATCCTACGGGGCACACATGGAGGTTGGAGGACAATTTGCAGGAGATGTTTCCTTTTCCAACATGAGGACTCTGGGGATCCAGCTCAGGCTTTTGGGTCTTGGTTAGCATTTCTATTGCTTTGATAAGACACCATGTCTAAGGCCACTTATAGGAAAAAGAGTTTACTTGTGTCTTACAGTTTCAGAAAGTTAAGAGTCTATGCCCATCATGGCGGGGAGCGTGGTGTCAGGCAGGCAAGCATGGGGCAGGAGCAGTAGCTGAGTGATCCCATTTTGGGATATAAATGTGAGGCAGAGAGAAAGACTCAGAATGGTAGGAGTCACTTGAAATCTCAAAGCTTTCCCCTAGTGACACACTTTCTCTAACAAGGCCACGCCTCCAAATCTTTGCAAAATCGGTCCACCAACTGGGGAGCAAGTGTTCAAACATATGAGCCTGTGGGGACACCCTCATTCAAAGCACCACACCAGGCACGGTAGAAAGTGTTTTTGCTCACTGGCAGCTTGCCAGTTCATGTTTTCATAACATTAGTTTTAGGTGGCGTATGCATACATGCATTTGTACATACACTCAATTATTTGTGATATAATTTATAAAATGACAGATTATGTAGGAAATATGTATAAACAAGATAACAAAACATCATAGAACCGAGGGCAATCTGTGAAGGGATGGCAGTTGTTTTATTGACAGGGAGCAAACAGAGACAGTTTTCTCCCAGGAGGGAAAAACTGGCTAGTTTTTGCAACTCCCTGTGACTGCTTGCCCCAGAGTCACTGTAGATTGTCATAGTGACTCTTGACAGAACCTCCAAGAATTGTGTTAAAAAAATCGGTAGTGTTGTGGGGGAGACAAAAATGATTTCCCATATGCACTTCAACCCCTGACTAACAGGCAATTGGTTGGCATCAGCCCCTGGCCCTCATGGAGGCTTAGGCAACCCCCCATTATCCCCGCTGGTGAGTGGAGCCGAGCACCCTCCCGTTCTTGTTCTGGGCCCCTTTAAAATGTGGGGACAAGGAGACAGCAGGGCACAGGAAATCTAAGGTTAAGAAGAAAGGGACTCTGAGTGCGTATAGGCTAGCAGGGACTTATTCCAGACTCGAGCAAATCAGAGCTCCTGAATGGACCAGGTCCCAGGGATTCAGATGAGACCCTTCACTCTTCATGCTACTGACATCACTCTTTATGAACTTAAGGTCAGTCAGAGATAGATACCCAATGGTCAGCTTTCTGCTGTGACAATACCCGAGACAGTCAACTTAAAGGGAGGAATCGTTTGTTTCAGCCCTTGGCTTCGCGGGACTGGCTGCAGTTTTCCGGCACCTTGGTTGGGAATGCACGGTTGAGAGTCTGCTCACCCCATCATGACTGAGTAGCAACTAAGAGACAAGAAGTCTGCCGTTCCAGTGTCTCCTTTAAGGACACAACCCCCGACTAATACATTCTTCCTCTAGTGCTCACCTCCCACAGGCTAGCAAACACACATTTAGGGAACATTTACTATTCATTTACTGTGCACACCCTCACAGCCAGAGAGAGAAGGGAATGTGTGGAGTGAGGCGTTTGCCCAGAAGGCCCTTTCAAGTCCACACAATGCCGTGTGCTTTAGTGACTCTACAAGAGCCAATGTGGCTCTTTCTCAAAACGACATTATAGCTCATGTATGAACACAGGCTTCCCATGAACATTTAAGCAGTGTGTGTGTGTGTGTGTGTGTGTGTGTGTGGGTGTGGGTGTGGGTGTGGGTGTGGGTGTGGGTGCTTCTATGCACAACAAAACCTCCAAAGATACAACACCACCTGTTTTGCACCGTTCAGACATTTTCTGTGCAAACATGCGACACACACACACACACACACACACACACCTACATAGACATAGTTTGAAAAGTTAACAATTGCCGTCTTGCTATATATTTATACTATGTGATTTAGATTTTTCGGTTACCTATGTTTGGGTCACATGTTCTACCACAGTGATCTTGGCAACGGCATCACGAAACTTGGTGCGCTTGGTGATGGACTGCACATGACAAGGATCAGTAAAGATCCAAGGTGGATGTCTTGGACTTTGTGTGTGACCCTCATTTGAATGAACACTGTCAAGGTGGCTGAGAAAGAAGACTGTACTGAGTTACCATCCCACAAGAATGTGTGTTTATTCATTTTGCCACATCCTTCCCATAAATAAGTATCAGCAATCTGAAAATTCTTCTCAATCCACGTTATAAAAATGACATCATTATGTCCGTTGACACACATCTTCTAATTCTTAGTGAGGTTTTGTACTATTTGTTTTGTTAATTTCCCATTTGTCTTCTCTGTTTTTAATCTCCTCTGTTTTCCTTTTATTTAAATAAAACTGTTTTTTTTTAACTGGTTTTTAGACACTGCTTGGAGTGAGAGTGACTTTTTTATGGAGCGAGTATTTCCTCTTGGCCCTTGCTTTACTTTATTGATGATAGGGTGTACTTCGCCTTAGATAAGCTTTAAATACTGAGTTGTAAAGTCAGAAGCTTTAAAAATCGATTTGTATATTTTGTGTTTGGCTGAAGAAGCTTGCTCCTTAAGATTATAAAGATTATAAACTTATCTTAAATTTTCCCCTAGCAAGATTTTAGTAGTCAGCTCTTTAATTTATTGAGGTTTATTTGTAAAGGGTTTATTCTTTTTGTCCCCCCCCCCTTTTTTTTTAAAGATGAGATCTCTCACTGGAGCCTGGGGCTCACCAAATAGGCTTAGGCAGCTTGGTGAGTGGGCTCATCTCTGTAGTGCCAGGAACAAAAGTGTGCACTCCTGTGCCATGGTCTTTAAGAAAGTCTGGGATTGGGGGATCAAACTCAGGTTCGTACCCTTGCAAGGCAAGCACCGTACTCACTATTATCCCAGTCCTCAGCCCGAAGTCCTTTAATGTAGTTTAAGGATGAGGTTTTGTGCCATTTTTTCTGAATGGA